ATTTATTTATTTATTTATTTTGAGACAGGGTTTCTCTGTGTAGCTTTGGCTGTCCTGGAATTCAGTTTGTAAAGCCAGGCCTCAAAATCAGAGATCCGCCTACCTCTGTCTCTGGAATTCTGGGGTTAAAGGGGTGTGTCACCATGGCCCAGCCTTATTTTACTTTATGTGTATGGGTGTTTTTGTCTGCATGTCTTTCTATGCACCACATGCTTGCAATGCCTGTGGAGGCCAGAAGAGGATGAAGGGCTCCTGCACTGGTTCCTGGGGCTGGCTGTGAAACATCATGTGGTTGAGAAGAATTCAACCCAGTTTCTTTGGAAGAGTGGGACAGAGTAGGCTGGAGAGATGGCTATGCAGTTAAGAGCACTACTTGTTCTTCCAGATGAACCAGGTTCAATTCCCAGCAACTACATGGTGTTCACAACTGTCTTTAGTTCCAACACCATGTTCTGACCTCCATGGACAAGGATGCACATGAGTACATATACACAAAATAGCCACACACATAAAATTAAAAGACAAGAGAGTCAGAGATTGGGAAGATGATGCACAGGCATATATGTGTGTGTACATGTGTGCAGGGAATGTGTGTTTGATTCTAGCATACACAACAGTGTCTCACAACCTCCTGTAACTCCAGCTGCAGGGAATCTAATGCCCTTTTCTGGCCTCTGCAGGAACATGCAGAACCACATACATAGACTACATGCAGGCAACACACACACCTCTCTCTCTCTCTCTCTTCAGGAACATGCAGAAACCCCCCCCCACACACACATATCCCACTGACACACACTCACAAATAAATGAAAAGACTTCAAGCAGTAAAGACGAAAAGCACAGGGGAATAGGTGCTACAAACTTTGAGCGAGTGATGAACTAGCATAGAAGACAGGTATCCGGTACAGGTTTGCATTTCACTGGCCCTCCACATTCATCAGCTCTAAGGCTGCGCTTCTTAAAGCTACTGACCAGTGATAGGTCATATTTAAACCTATGAAGTACTTTATATTACATTTCTGTATAACTGGATAAATATGGAATGTGCCCTAAATTTAAAGCAGAATCAAGAGTATCATGGCATAACGCAAACATATATATACACATAAAAATCACAGACCATCCTTTTTCCTCGCTTAATCTCTTGAAGTACAGTTTTAATATCAAAATCTCCAAATTCTGCTCTTGATGTTGTTGTGAGCTGGACAGTACCAGAAGAAAACAACTACAAAAGAAAAACGCAGAACATAACCACTTACAAGTTTAAACAGTGCAGTAACAAATTGTTACAGTTCTGTAACTCCCAGAGCAAGACTTCTCCCAAATAATCAATATCAATTCAAGTATTTTAAATATTTTCATGTCTCATTACAATATAAACCAAAATGGAAATAATTAAAAACCCAACTAAGAGTGCCAATTGGAGCTAAGATTAAATAGCCTGCTTTACATACCAAAGGTGTCCATAACACCATCACCCTGTTTGCCCAACTATTTAATATTCCAAGAAAAAATTTTAAAATAGCTTCAACTGGCAAACTTGAACTAACAACAAACAGATTAGGATCCTTTCTGATCTTTTATTTTCAAAACAGATATATCTAAAAGCCATTCCATGGTGAGTTCTTGGAGGATACACATTTTGAAAAACAAGATTCTGGGTAAATATAGTATGCACTCTAGTCCAGATTTCTGTTTATTTGGGGCAGTGTTGTCTTAAATTTTTTTATTATACTATATATTTGTGTATGTGACACCACATGTGGTTCAAGAATTTGCAGGAATCGGTTTTCTCTTTTTGCCATACAAGTTCTGGGAGCAGCAAGTGCCTTTACCTGCTGAGCCATTTCACAGGCCCAATTATTTGGATTTTGAGACAATGTCTCACTATGTATTCTAGGCTGGCCTTGAACTAAAACCTGAGATGCTCTTTTTTCAGCTTCTCAAGTGCTGGGTTAACAGGCTTGTGACTTCATGTCTAGTAAAAACTTCTTATATAAATAACTTTTCAAAATTAATTGTAAGTGAGATGAGTAATTCAGTAAAATCTAGCTCAAAAAATTAAACAGGCCAGGATAAAATGATGTAAAGTTAGAATCTCTCCAAGGAATTTTAGAGTCTATTAGAGGAAAGATTCATTCATACACAACTGCAATTCAGTGTGCTAAGTACCATAACAGTGATATTTATTAGGTTATAAGTTGAAGCCCATTTATAATCCTAAATGTTCTTATGATTATAAAGATGAAATTCTTATAGAGTATTTCAATATGTTAGCTATGATTACTTCAAATTCTGTTTTATAAAAAAATCTGAAGTATATGAAGATTTGGGGCTAGGTGGTGGTGGTATACATTTTTAATCGCAGCACTTAGGAGGCAGAGTCAGATGGATCTCTGAGTTTGAGGCCAACCTGGTCTACAGAGCAAGTTCCAAGAAATCCAGCGCTACACAGAGAAATTCTATCTCAAAAAACCAAAAGATTTGGGAGCATAACATATTACTTGTGGTGGTTTATATTAATTGTCAACTTGACACAATCTATAATTACAAATCTCTGGGAATGTCTGTGAGGCAATTTCTAGATTAGGCTGAGGTGGAGAGCCATACCCTAAGTGTGAGTAGCATCATTTCATGGGCTAGGGTTCCAAACTGAATAAATGAGAAGCAAACATTTACTGTCCTCTGCTTCTTGACAGTGGACATAATGTGTCCAGTTGCCTCATGCTCCTGCCATACCACCACTTCTCTGTCACAATGGACCTTTTCCCTTGAAGTCAAATCCAAACTGAACAAACCCTTCCTCTTTTTCTTCTTACCTTCTTTCTTGTTTTTCATCTTTTGAGGCAGGGTCTTACTATATAGCTCTCTGGTCTGGAACTCAGATAACTGCCTACCTCTGCCTCCCCAGTACTGGAATTAAAGGCCTGTGCCACCACATTCAGCCTAAACCCTTCCTGTCTTAAATTGTTTTGCTCAGGTATTTTGTCAAAACAATGAGGAAAGTAACTAATACTTCATTATGCAAAACTCTAAAGCAATGCTGAAAAGAAAAGTACTATATTAGATTACCAGCTAAATGATTTTTTAAAAATACATTAAGAACCATGCCTACCATGCACTTATAATGTGCGGCTGCCTTCTTGGCATTAAATATATGCAACTTCCCTCTCGCTTCGGTTTCTTCCTCCCCTACATGGCAAAATCCACATTTAGGCCTGGTGTCATTAGGACTGCTCCTGTGTGGAGACCTATCTCGCTGTGGATATAAAAGGGAAAAAACACTTAAAATGGATTCAAAGTTCATTTAACACTTCAAATAAAACTTACCTATAAACACAGTATAAATGAAACTTTTCGTGTTCCAACAAACGGGAGGAATCCACTAGTTTTCTACTTACGTAGGAACTACTTTCCATTTCATCGGTTCCATGGGAGGATGTAGATCTGCTGTCTTCGGTCAGCCCTTTAAAATTAGTCTTTCTTGGTCTTCCTTTGCGACTTTTCTTCTTAGTCTTTGGAGATGAGGGCTCCAGTTCATGCTCATTAAAAGTTTCTTCTAAATCAGCTGCTCAAAAAGAAACAAAAGTTTTACATGCATTAACCTTAACAATCAGTACTACTTCCATGAGTCTCTGGGAGCTGTGCTTCTCATTTGCATGAAATGGCCCCTAGAAACAAGGAGGCCTGGTCTGTGGTATATTAAAAAAAGCACAATCCAATGCTGCCCATGCTTAATGTATAAATTTCCCACTAAGAACAGAAACGTATGATATGAATTTAAGAACACTAGTCAATACCATACATAGCTACCACACTAGATGATGCAAAGAAGGAACATCAAGGACAATTCTACCAGTGTAATCAAGTCATGGCCTCTGTAAAAAGCCAGGTATCCACACCACTTAGTTAAACCATATCTTCTCCAGTTTGATCTTGTTAAAAGACAGTCCTTTTTAGAAAGTCACTATAAGGCTTAAGATTAGATGTTGCTCATCCTGCTGATCTATAGATTAACCTGTGTAGAAAGGATCTATATTAGCTCACACAGCAGGCTTTCTTTAGCACACAGCTCTTCTCTATTTCAACCTGTATTCATTCTGGCAAATTTCAATTGACCATATGGACAATTCAACGATACCGAGTCACTTAGTCCCCTTACCTTCATTGATGTCCTCCATCAAGCACCCAATTCTCCAAGTCACACCCAGATACCTCATTATCACCTAAAATGCTTCTACATCTGAAATCCCTTGATGTAACTTTGGGAAATACACATTTGCTTTCCCTGCACCCATATGGTGCCTTGCAACTATCCAGAACTCCAATTCAAGGGAATCCAGAGCTGCCTTCTGGCCTTCTCCATGGACACTAGGCCTACATGCAGTATAGACATACATGCAGGCACATGAAATAAAAATACATGTATAAAACACTGTATATGAGATTATGCCTCAAGTTCTAGAATATAAGTATAAACATACACTATATGCCAAGGAAACAAAAGGGCCTGATATTCTGTAGACATATACCATGAACCCAAAAATTCAAGCCAATTTGAAGCTGTTTGTAAAGTATGAAATAGAATTAGAACTCTTTCATTCAGCAAAAGGAACTCAAAATCACTTTAGTTGGGTCTTTGAGAGAATTCAGGCAGTAAGGGTACTTATTGCTAAGGCTAAAGACATAAGAGTTCAATCCTGGGTTACACATGAAAAAAGGAGAAAACCGACTCCTACAAGTTGGTTTCTCTCTCTCTCTCTCTCTCTCTCTCTCTCTCTCTCTCTACCTCTCTCTATTCCT